TCCTCCTCTCCCCTCTCTTCCACACTCTTAAAAAAAAGTCAATGGAAAAAGTATCCTTGGGTGAGGGTTAACAAAATTTTTAAATTAGGAGATTGTGCATTTTTTTGCAATTTTCTGTAATTTTTAAATGTTTGCATTTAATTCATTTTGTTAGAAAAGTAATCATCCATTTTAGGAAATTAGTGAACATTCAGGACAACTGATGCTCCCGCTCTCCTGGCTGAGTGTGGTCCTCGTGCCTGTCTCAGGTTTATGCCCTTGGTAAGAAGGCACCTGTGCAGGTTTCAGAAGTTCCCTGGTTTACTCAGAGGAGTCCACAAGTGTGATTCTAAGTAGGTCAGTGCAGCATCGTTGTTCTCAGGCCTTGCCTGGCAGCCGCTGAGGTATTAGCCCGTGCGCTGCCTGGTGCTGTGATTGGACACACTGTCATTGACTGCTACATAAAGAGTTAGCAAATTTCCCAAGTAAAAAATTATTCATAAACATTTTAGCGTGTATCTGTATAAGGTAAGGGCCCTGTTTTTAAAACATAATCAAAAAACCATCATCAGCCTAAAAAATTAATAGTAATTTCTTAACATCTTTGACTGTCAACTACCCTTTACGTTTTCCTCATTGTCTCCAAGTCCTTCAGAGCCATCTGTGTGATGGGGCCCCTGTGAGGTGTGTGTGCCGCAGCTGGTTGGCATGTCACCTGAGTGTTTTTAATCTGTAGATTTTTTCTTTTTCTTTGCAACTTATTTGTTGAAGAATTGAGATCATTTGTCTTGCAGAGTTTCCTCCAGCCTGGGTTAGGGGTTGTGTGTCTGTGAGGTGCTCCCTGTGTTCTTCTTCCTGTCCTTTCCCCTGTGGGGGGTGGTGGTTTCTGCCCCCTGCCAGCCACATCAGCCTTGTCGTCCCTCCCGGAGCATCTGCCCAGCACGATGTTTATCTACAACACATGACATCACTCTGATCACCGGCAATCTGATTTCTGTAACCAGTTCAAGATTGTTTGGGGGTGTGTGTGCTATTTTGCTTTTTATTCCACTAGAGATGTGCAGAGTGTGATGTCCTGCTGTCCGATTCCTGCTCTTTTCACAGGTCGGTGATGACAGGACAAGACTTCCCATTCCTGCTCCTTACTCTCAGGATAGTGTTTAAGTTGTCTTTACTTACGAATGATTGTAGGGATCATTGTTGTGCAAAAATACATAGGCCCTTTTATTGGAATTGTGCTACAGCTGGATTAACTCGAGGACTGTAGACTATTTTCAACATTATTCTCATCCAGAACATGTAATAGGGGTTTATAGTTTTAAGGGCCCACACATTGGTTTTTTTAAATTATATTTAAATATTTGATGTTCATTATAACTAGAGATCCTTTTGAGAAATGTCTTTGCTGTTTGACAAGAATGCAGGCGACTTGTTGACGTCCATTGGGTGCGTGGCTGCTTTGTTCTCGTATTTTCTAAGATTCATGGCCTAGAGTCTTAGTTTAGAGAGGATTTGCTGGTTTAGATAATTTTAGATAAGAGGGCATGTAATCCTAGCATGTCAGAGCTGATCAGAAATAGTCCTGTGACCCTTTTGGGCCACGAGAGCTGAAGAGGCCCACAGGACCCACGGGAGGGTCGTGTTGTCTGGTTAGGTGGTTGTGCTGCCCCTGAAGCTAACTCAAGGGAATGTTGTGAGACTGACACCGCAGCCAGCCCCCGCCTCCAGGGGTCCTGGGCAGCTCATTGGACTTCACTGCGCATCTCCCAGGGTGACGATAGGCCCTATACTCCCAGCAAGTAGCTGTGATTCTGTAACTGGAGCTGTCGCTTGGTGTGTTGGTTGTGGTACCCACTTGCTATAAGGAGGTCTGACCGGCTAGGGCATTGTCATTTTGTGCCTTGTGGCTGTCTCTTAGAGCCCTGACTTCCACCCCCTATGAATCCACACTCCTGATCTGATCATTTCCTCTTGTTGCCATTTAGCTTTTTCCTCTATCGTAGGTACTTCCTGTAAACATAAGTTAGGTTTGGGAGCGTGAATATGTTCAGACTACACACTTGCATAACTGATACGTTGTATGTAGTTTCTGTCACATCCCGTCGGGTCGGTACCACTGACTCCGGCTCTCCCATGACTCGTGTGTCTGAGTGCTCTTAGGTTGTATATAGGAGTGGTCGTGTTTACATTTAACCTGCTGGTAGCCAGGTCTTTGAGTGTTCTCACTTTTTCTCTGAGTAGTTGACGAAGATAACACGCACCGGCCCGTCTGCCTGGGAGACCAAGAAGATCCTGGCTGTCTCCTTTGCCCCTCTGGTCCAGCCACGCCGCTCGGAGTCAGGGAAATCTAGACTTGTCCAGTTACGTGAGTACAGAGACTGAACCCGCTCTTCAGATTTTTGTCATCTCGTTAGAAGGAACCTTTAATATGAAAGAGCATTTTCTACCCACTATAACCTAAAAATTTTCCAAGTGATTTTTAGGTATTTAAAAAGTTATAGTTCATCTCCAGCTTATTGTAGGTTCTTTTAGCCTTGTTTTAAATCCACAGCAAGCTGCTGATGGTGGTGCCATGGGATGCAGAAGAGCCACCTGGAAGGGAGTTAAGTCTGCTGTGTGGAGCCTGTGTCCCGGCACCTCTGGCTGGCGCTCCTGGGTCACTCTGCTCTGGGCACTGCATGGCCCTGTGTCAGCCACTCCACTGGGGGCAGGTGTGCAGTGGAGCCTTCCTGCCAGGCCTGTTCCCCTTACTCCACAGGGTGTAGACCCAGCAAAGAGCTCAGCATTCAGCCAAACATTGTTTTATAATTTCAACAAAAAATTTATACAGGAAGGAGAATCACAGATGTCTTTATTTAAAATAAAAGCATTCAGCATGCACTCTGCTTTCTGATCATTCAGAAAATTTGGGCAATGAAAGTAGGAAGAAAAAAAAAAATCACTTTTAATCTCACCACCAAGATAGTCAATCATGTTGGTGAATTCTTCCCAGAATTGTCTTTTAATGTGTGAGAGGGATCATTTATCAAAGTGATGCTAAGTGCAGGTCACAAGATGTCAACATGGTGAGGAGCTGTGACGAGCAGCCGTAGGAGGGTCAGGTGTGTAGAGAGTGAGATGTTTGCGCCTGGTTGTTGAGGCTGGGAGGAATTCCCTAAGGAGAGAAGAGAGGGAGGCAAGGGCCTGAGGCTGTCACTGGGATGCACCGGTTCCCAGGTGCACAGAGGAGGCGTGGGGGGGGGGCCCTGCACAGAATTGGAGAGCTATCCAGGGTTTCAGATAAGAGATGTGTGTGTCTGCACTCAGGATTACCCTCTGCTCCCTGAAAATCCCACAGAATAACTGAGCAGATGCTGTCCGCGGTTGGGGAAGGCACCACCTTTCAGAGCCCTAGCAGAGTTGGGAGGTGAGAGGACAATGGGGTGTCTAGGAGGCTTGATTGAGCCTAGATGAGAGTCATGGCCACATGGAGGGCACCCTGGATGTGGGTTTCGAGGCCTGGTTCAAAGTGAATGTCAGATAAATAATAGTGTGATGCAGTTTAGGGCTTCTGAACTGAGCAACAGTCCAGGTGTTCGTAACTGTATCTTCTGGACTAGTCATGTCACACAGGGAGGTGGTGTCTCGTGAGGTTGTGTGGGTGTACGGGGCCAGCTGTCTAGACGAGCGAGGGACAGTGAAGGCAGGAGCAAGTTAGAGGGTGATTGGGGTTTTCTAGGCCAGAGATGAAGATGGGCAGTAAGACACTGACCTATACAGGAGAGGATCCAGGGCAGGCACAAGGGACCTCTGAGGAAGGATGTCGGAGGCTGTTATAGATGTGGATTTGTGGGAGGCTCTGGACCCTGGTCAAGACTGGGCTTGAGTCCTGGGAGCTGCTGGCCGGTTTCTGCTCAATAAAGCCCCAGAATAGATGTCAAACCAAGGAATGAGCATTGGAGAGGAGTAAGGGTGAAAATCAGAATCTTAGGAAACACCCCTAGGGCTGGGTGGAGGAGGGGCCAGTGAGAGACCTCTGCACATGGCCTCTCAGGGAGGCTGGCGCTGGCAATGGGAAGTCTGGTGGCCTATGAAGGACTCGTTTCAGCTGCCTTAGGAGCAGCAGCGAGCAACAGGGTGAGCCCTGGAGCCCTTCCTGGAGGAGGACAGTTGAGCTGAGAGAAGAGTTGGTGCTGACAGTGGGATCGCAGGAGCTTCTAGGGTTCCCCTGGATCAGTGGGCATTTGTTGAGATTCTGCGTAGGCCCCCTCCCCCCACGATTTGGTCAATAAAAGTGACAGTGTAAGAGCCCCCCTACTGTGGGTTATAATTTTTGGGCTACTTAGGTACTAGAGAGAAAAAGTGATGCTGATTTTGAGTTTAATGGATTGAAACAGTTGATCCCTAGGTCCTTTCTCTCTAACGAAAGCCCTCCCGGGCCACACACAGGGCCTACATTAAACAGAGCTTTAATCATCAGGTTTTACTTTTCTTGGGTGTGCTGTGGACTTTTTGTTCTTTAAAATATTGTGGATCTAGTTTTCTCTACTTTAACAACAAAGGCAATAGTTTGTAGAGTACAGTGAAAACAGTCAAGTAGACAGGAGAGTGCTGGATGGCACTGGATGCAAGAGAATCGCAAGTAGACGCAGTGACCAGAGTGACCAGGTGGCTGCGAATGACAGAGCAGCGGGGCCCCCTCTCCTGTCTAAGTTCAGGTTATGCGTTTGAAGTGTCTCCTGAAAAAGCTCATGTTCTGTGCTGTTTGTCACACACAGTTCTCGGGTGGTTAGGCCTGTGTTGTCATCCCAGACACTGACTCCTGTCCTTTGGCCGCAGCCCCCCTGGCGGTCCGCAGCCTCCAGGACTTGGCTCGCATCGCCATTCGGGGTGCCATTAAGAAGGCCATCCACCAGGAGGCAGTGAGCAGAAGTGGGGGCGGACTGAAGACCACTCCCAGGTTCAAGCGAAGGAGAGTTCGCCGCCGTCGAATGGAAACCATCGTCTTTTTGGACAAAGAGGTGTTTGCCAGTCGGATTTCCAACCCCGCTGAGGACACCAGCTGTGAAGGGTTGGACGTGGAGCAGCGGGAGGAAGAGCAAAGCCGGGTGGAGGCGAGGCCGGAGCCCCCGGTGAATGTCCTGCGGGAGAAGGTCCTGCGCCTGCCCCTGCCTGACCCCCTGAAGGGCTACCTGCTCTACTACAGGGACAAGTGAGCCAGGCACGGCGCAGGCTGTAGCCAGCGGAGGCCCCCTGTCTGCACAGCTCTTCCGGTCGATCTTCATCATCTTGTAGAATTTTCATTAAATGGTAGATTTCTTTAAATATAATCTGACAGATGTAAGTGCGTGGGAGAATGTTTCATTGAAAGGGACCGAGTTTCCTAGGGCAAGAGGTTACGCCCAGCTCTGCCCGAGACAGGTCTGCGTTAGAGGGACACTGCGGCTGGCACTCGCCCTGTTGCTCAGAGCGTGAAGGGAAGCGTGGCCTGTGGTGTGTGAAGTTCTTTCTGGGTGCGACACACCTGTTTCCACGTTTGAATTTGACGTTTGTCAGCCTCTTAACTCATGGCCCTGACATCCTCTAAACCCAGTTTTCCAGAGCGGGTGCATTCTGGAAAAGCCATCTTGTAAAGTAATTGGAGTAACTACGGGAGTCGTCAGTTGTAGTTTTTTCTAATTGTGTTGAGGGAGCAGGAATAAAAGTGTGAAGCTGCCAGGTATCTTTTAGGAATTCCAAAAGAATTCCAAGGAATTTTTTCCCCAACACTTTTATCTTCAAAAGAACTAATGTCCCCCTGGCCGGGTAGCTCAGTTGGTTAGAAAGTCGACCCAGTACACCAGGGTTGCGGGTTCGATCCCAGTCAGGGCACATACAGAAATCAGCCAATGAGAGCGCAAGTAAGTGGAACCACAGACCAGTGTCTCTCCCTTCCTCTCTCTAAAGTCAATCAATCAAGAAATAAAAGAACCAAATGTCTAGTAATCCCTGGAAGAATAGCCTGAAGAATGAATTGAGTGTCGTGTGTTGGTAATAAACTGTTAAACTTCACCCGGCCATGGGGATGGCTGTGGTCCTCATGCGGTCTCGGGTCTGAGGGTGACGGGCTTGTCCTCAGAGCAGGTGGGGCTGCGGCCTGGACAGAGGCCTCTTAGGCGGCCTGTGCTTTTCTTAACTTGAGGTGGTATTTTCTGTAATCCCATTAGAGTACTGACTCAGATTTTATCTTTTGTAATTCTGGAGAAAAATACCTGTTTTGTAATTTTTCTTAAGAACAAATCTCTGTATTTTGGTAGCTCCACTGCATTAGAGCAGTTTACTCACGGGGACCGAGCACCGGGCCTCCTGTCAGGGCTTCCGTCTGATCAGGCTCTGGTCCAGAGGAGGGTCTTGGCAGGCTGTTTTGAAGTTACATCACTGATTCCAAAACACCTTTTCCTTTTTTTTTACCCAAAGAAAAGAGTAGTATTAAATGTTACAACAGTAAACCCAAACTCAGCGCTGAAGTCAGATCCCCGTCCAGATTCAGGATGAGTTTTATCCAGTAGCCTCTGGGGTGTTGGCTGAGGTTCAGTGTCTCTGTGGTTTCAACCAGTTAACTGAGTTTTGGTTATTTTTTTTTTCTTACCTTTTTGCTGTGTTTAGTGACCGGGTCATTTCTGTCACAGGATGCTATGTGCTGGAGTCGCTGGGAAAGCATGCGTTTTGTCCTAGGCTTGTACATTTAAGCTGCTATTGAGAAGGCCCTTCCTGGCTGTTGTTGAACTGCCTGTAACTCAGATCGTCTGTCAGAGAGGAGAACAGGGTGTGTTGACTCGCTAACTGCAGGGCGACATCATTCTATTTGATATGTAGAGGCCTGTGCAAAATGTGGGCATTTTTGGACATGACGTTAAATAAATGGTATCTTTGAAATCTGTTCTGTTACGTTGCTTGACTAAATTTTTCCCCTATGATTGTATATGGATTTCATTTATTTTAAACCACGTTTGCCTTATGAAAAGGCAGTGCATGCCCGGCCAGTGTGGCTCAAATGGTTGAGCGTTGACCCATGAACCTGGAGGTCAAGGTTTGATTTCTGGTCAGGGCACGTGCCTGGGTTTTGGGCTCAGTCCCAGGAGGGGATGTGCAGCTGATCGATGTTTCTCTCTCATCACTGATGTTTCTATCTGTCCCTCTCCCTTCTCTCTCTGAAATCATTAAAAAAACCAAACATATTTAAAAAAGAAAAAAACAATGCATAAGACATGTTTTTCCTATGTATGTGTAAAATCTTGCCTAGCAGTTTGTATTTACTTGTTCTTAGTTGTGATTTTTAAACCAGAATTTGGTTAAAAAACATAATATATATGAAATATTTGGTGTCTATCTTGTAAACATGACGGAGACTTGCGAGGGGGTTTCCCGTGCACTGCGGTCGCTGTCTTCAGACAGATGAGCCGCCGGCAAGCCCGAGCTCCACACCTCGTTCCACATGCTGTGCACTGTTGTTTAGAGTTGTCTGTATTTTTATATGTGACTTTTGTCTTGAAAGTAGTAAAGCCATGGAGGTGTACAAAACAAAGCTCAGACTTGTAATCCTAAGTGTGTAATGTAAAAACCACCTGTGTGTGAATATGCTTTTGCCAGTCTGGACCTTTCAGGGGTTAACAAGTTGGAAGCAGATTTAAAGGAGCCGATGCACCTGAGTGAGCACAAGGTGTCGAGGCGGCTGAGGCGCAGCCTTCTTGGCTTCGCTTCTGCTTCCTGTGCAGGGTGGACATGCTTGACCACATTTCCCCCCCCAAAATCTTAAAAAATAAATGTTTTTCTTTCTTAGAATGTTTTCTCTTTCTCACTTTGTTTCATTGCTTAATTCTGGTATGTGACGAGTGTCTATGTTTCGATTTCTGGCACAGTTTTTCCATAACATGAAATGTTGAAAGATACTTGCACCTCTTACCAGCAGCAAAGGAGGGGGCTTAGCGTTAGGGCTGGTTTGGGGTTGGTCCAGGGCCAGGGTTTAGGATTGGGGTTGAGGGGCAGGGGGCAGGGGCAGGACTTCAGTGTTTGAGGTGCTATTGCAAAAATGTCTTTTTCATTTCGAAGTCCAGTTTTCCCCACACATGGCTGTTTTAGTCCATCTGGGCTGCTATAACAAAACGTCATTCTGATATTTTGGGTGACTTCTAAACAAGTTTATTCCTCACATTCTGGAGGCTAAAAGTCTGTGAGTGCCAGGAGGGTCGGGAAAGGGCCCCTCAGTGGCTGCGACAGCCCCAAGCCCATCGTGACGCTCCAGGGCCTGAGGCCCTACCTCCTAACACTGTCACAGCTTTAAGATCCCACCGTATGGTTTTGGGGGAACAAAAAAGCGCAGAAACTTGGGTGCAGCTTAGCTGGGTCCTGTGGTCACGCTGCTGGCCGGGGCTGTGGTGCCTGAGGCTTGAGTGCAAGAGTGTCCGTCGGTCCTGACAACTGCAAGAGACCAGAGACTTGCTGGCATATCAACACCGGGAGTTTATTTCTCATGAGCTGGAGGCTGGGGGTCCAGGACCAAGGCACCCGCTGAGTCCCGTTTGAAGTCTGTGCCCAGCTTGGCCTTGCCCCTAACCTCATGTGACAGGAGGGCAATGGATGGAGTTCTTTTTCTTCAAAAACCTATATTTTTATATTGTGGGGATGGAGCTTCCCCTCAGTGGCAGCTGGTTGCCCCATAGGGTTAGGGAAGACTTGGAGGAAATAAAAGTCCTTTAGAAGAATCGAGCTGTGGTTGTGTGTGTGTTGTGATGGGTTGAAGGGTGAGGACACCACCCTCCACCTGGCCACAGACTGTTTTGGACCCTGAGTGGAGCAAGGGCCTCTTTCCTTCCTGCTCCTTAGGATTGTTGAGGGCCATGTACCGGCAGAGAGTGACTGTCATGTGGGGGAGCTGCGAGCTGCACTCCTGGGATCACCCTCGCTGGCCGCTTGGCATCTGCACACGAGCTGCAGGTAGGTGACCTCCAGGATGGTGCTTTCTCAGGTTCCTGGGCACTAATTTCTTCATGAGAGCTCCACCTTCATGAACTAATGACCTCCCAACAGCCCCACTTCCTAATACTCCCCATGGGGTGTTAGGTTTCGACATGGATTTTGGGGGACAGATACTCAACCCATAGCAGGGAGGATCTGCTTCCAGGCTCGTCGATGTGGTTGCTGGTGGGATTGTATTCCTCAGGTGACGTCAGGTTGAGGACCTCAGTTCCTCCCTAGCTGTTGGCTGGAGGCCTCCGAAGTTCCCTTGCTCTAGGGCAGCTCACAGCGAGGAACCGGGCCTGTAGGTAGAGAGCTGGAGAGGGACTTGGTCCCACTGTGGGAGAACCTGCACCTGCCCCGTCCAAGCCCACTCTTAAACTTGCAAGTGTTCATTTCTGCTGTTAAAAAATACTAACATTTTACTTAAATAAGCCTGTCCAGTACGTTGCGATCAGATGGTCTTAGCTGACGCATCACAGTCAGTCACCCCTGGGACTCCCTCTGCGTGGTGTCCTCGCTGGGCGGGGCGTGCTGGCCAGTGGCCCAGCAGCTCTGTCCGCTTCCTTCCCTCCTGAAGGGAAGACCCCAGGACGACAGGAGGACAAGCAGCAGCAGGGGAGAGGCCCGGGTGGGCGATTTGTATTTCCCTTATTTTAGGTTCCATTTTATTACATATTTTTCCTAGGAAATCACCCATTTGCTCTAGTTTTCCTGTTTGATGCAATAGGTTTCTCTTATTTGACTTAATTTTGTTTTTACAGAATTGTTACAATTAAATATTGATACATTATCATTAACTAAATTCTCTATTACCTTCGCTGCATTCAAAGCTCAATCTCAGTGAAAGTCCTCCAACCAGAGAGGCCGATGCTGACAGCTGGGGCTTCTGGTG